AGAACACTTCACTCTGTAAAATGAAAACACTCCCAAGTTAAATCAGTCAGAGGAATCTCTGGGCCCTGTGTGCAAGGAGCTGCAGTTAGAAAAACAAGTGGGGAAAATATACTCGGCATTTTAAAGCTGAAAGAATTGAAGAACAAATTCAAGCCTTGAGTTGCAATACTGAAGGTTTCTATGGACAAAATCTTGAATGATGCTGGAAGCATAAAAAAAAATGTTGTCTGTTGTTGTTAAGTGCTGTCGAGTTGTAGACGACTCCTAAAGACCCTATGAACGAAAGACCTGAGCACTATTCATAAGGTTTCCGGAGGCAAGCCATTTCAGAAGTGGATGCCACTCCTGCTTCCAAGCTTGTTTTAATCAGGGAGCTCCACCAAACACTGTCCACCATGGGTAACCATTATCTCATTTGACACATCAGTGTCACAGTGTTTAACATCACAGCAACCACAAGTTACCTCTGTACAGCAATGCACAGACCAGTGCTATATCACCTAGAAGAATGTTTCACACAAAAAAACACAACACAACAAAACGAAACAATTAAAACCAGGCCTGAGGGCCGCGGATTAAAATCACCCACCTTGGGCTTGGTAGCATAACTTTCTGTCCACTAGGCCAACATAGCTCTGGAAGAAAAATATATAGTCACTGTACCTAAAAGAGCTTGTTAACGGTGACTCATTTCAGGAAACAGCTTATGACTAAGAACGGTACTGAAGGGAAAGTTCAACCTGCACTGAAAGCATTGGCTTAAGGAACTGACAGAATACCTATCGGAGTGTCTCAGCAGACAGACGCAGCTCTGGGCTCACTCACTCATGCCAAGAAATTTGGAAGCTAGATACTTAGTCGACAGACTGGACCCGATCCATACTTATTCCCATTCCATAAAGAGGAGTGCCAACAGAATAGACTGAGGGAATTACTGAACAGTATCATATTATAGAGAAGCTCTGTGGAAATAGTCTGTAGGAAGTTGCGATGGTCACTCAAAGGCAGCATGTGTGAATGTACCAGCAGCTCCTTGGGAGAAAGATGAGCAGTCTCTTCTCATAATGATTCACAGTCTCAGACCCAGTGGAAGCGTATTATGAGTCAGAATGGAATGGGCAGCAGTCGGACGGCTCACTAACCTCACACACAGGTAAAATCTGGCTGAAGATTATGTTAAAAACTACAGGAGCAGTTAATCTATAGGGAATCGATAGAAATTCAAGCTGGATTCAGAAGAGACCATACAACAAGGGATAGCAATGTTATTATTAGATGGATCTTGGTTAAAAGCAGAGAATACCAAAAAGAGGTTTACTTGTATTTTATTGACTCTGCAAAAGGTTTGGCTGTTAAATAATAATAGCACTGAAAAGAATGGGAATTTTTGAACATTTAATTGTGCCCATGCAGAATATGTATGTACATGGACCAAGAAGCAGTGGCTCACATGGAAAAGGGGATACCACATGGTTTCAAACATGGGACGGTGTCAGGGTTGTACCCTTTCCCCAAACCTATTTAATTTACATGCTGAGCCAAGATTCCCAGAAGCTCTAACACATGAAGGAGAATGTGGCATCAGGACTGGAGGAAGCCTCATCCACAACTTGTGATAGGCTAGTGACACAACCTTACTTGTTGAAAGAAAAGAGGACTAAAAGCATTTGGTGAAGAAGATCAAAGAATACAGTCTTTAGTATGGATTTCATCTCAACATAAAGAAAACAGAAATTATCACGACTCGACTAATAGGTAATATCATGATAAATACAAAAAGGAATGACATTGCCTAGAATTTAATTTTACTTGGATCCAGAGTTAACACCCATGGAAGTTTCATTAAAAAAAATCATTAAAGACTGAAGTAAACTTGGCCCAAGTCACGATATTTTCAGTTGTTTTACAGGCCATAATGAATATAAAATGACTGAAGAAGACTTGGGGTGTTGGGAAAGAATACTGAGTATTCCACGCACTACTAAGAGGAGCAACAAGTCTATCCCGGGAGAAGGGCAGCCAGGACGCTCTCAGCTTAGACGCAAGGATACCACACTTGGCAAAGTAGAAAGTACTGGGGAGGAAGATGCTCGGTGAGATGGGCTGAGGGTTGACACAGGGACGGCAGCAATGGTTAAACACAGCAGAGGCCGGTCAGGGTTATTGAATGTAGGGTCCGCATGATTTTTAACTGACTCAACAGCACCTGCCAACAACAACAACAACAACAACAACAAAATAGCTGCACAAAGATGTAAAATAGCTGATCCACTTTTATTTTACTTTTTTTCACTCTGCAAATAGAATACATGTTGCCAGTTGTTCACGTCGAGGGATAATAAATTGGAACTCCAAATTATAATATCTCTAACTGGACTGAATGACATCACACAACAACAATTACTGCTTTTCCTAAGCTGTCTTGAATTAGTTCTCTTTCAAACAGCTGGAGATTACAGAAGTTTAACTCCTAGTCTAAAAAAAAATAATGCAAGAAATCTATACTAAGTGAAAATTTCATGATTCAACTTCCTGTTTTTGAAAATGATTTTTCAGTATGAAAAGTTAGCTGCCTTCTCCGTGAACTAGTCTCCTGTTTTCTATTATTTCCAGCATCGGAGGGAAAGTTGTCTTACTTCTGATATAATTTAAAAAAGGAATGAGGTTAATGAATATTGTATGTGAGCTCTGATGGCCTGGCAGAAAGGAGTTTTGCTGACAACTTACAGGTAAGTGATTTGATCCCACCAGGTGCTCTGCAGGAGGAAGATGGGGAATCTCCTGTGCAATTTACAGACTTTAAAAACCTGGTGGGGGGTCAGCTATGATTTGGTTCCAACATAAGGACAACAATAACAATTAGATTGGATTGGATTGGAAGGTAAAAAAAATATAGCTTTTGATGATGATGATGAATTCTCTGAATATTTGAACAAAATATTTTCTAAATAATCTAATCAGGACTACTTTCTTTTTCCATTTGGAAAACTTTTTTTTTTTAAACTTCTTAAATCTGTTTAACCTATTCAATTAAGCAAAAGAGTGAACACCAACAAAACCAAAACTAACATAGTTGGATTTTGGTTTTGGTTTTCTTTTTGAGTCTGTGTAAATACATATGCTAGATGGAAGGAGTACACAGAGTCACCGTACCAAAAAGAAGTGTCAGACACAGAAGAATTTCAAGAAACAACATATGATCAAGAGGCAACGGTGATGAAGGAGGAAGTTGAGGCTTCCCTGAAGGACTTGGCAAAAAATAAAGCCCCAATAATTGATAGAATACCAGTTGATGTATTTCAACAGATGCTGCCCTGAATGTGTGCACAAGGTTGTGCCACGAAATTTGGAGGACAAGTACGTGGTGAACTGACTGGAAGAGATCCATATTTATTCCCATTCCAAAAAAAAAGGTGACTGAACAGAGTGTTGAAATTATAGAACAATATAACTAGGGATATTACAGCTAATGTTAAATTGATCTTGGCTGAAAGCTCAAGAGTACTAGAGGAATGTCTATCTAGAGGAATGTTTCATTGACTATGCAAAGACCTTTGACTGTGTGGATCACAACAAACTGTGGCTGACTCTGAGAAGAATGGGAATCCCAGAAAATTTTATTGTGCTGATGCAAAACTTATACTTGAACCAAGAGGTAGTTGTCAGAACAGAGCAATGAGAAACTGCATGGTTCAAAATTGGGAAGAGTGTATGCCAGGCATGTATTCTGTCTCTATCCCTTTTCAATCTGTGTGCAGAACAGATCATCCAGGATGCTGGGCTATATGAGGAGGAATGTGGCATCAGGATTGGAGGAAGATTCATCAACAACTTGTGTTATGCAGATGACACAACCCTGCTTGCTGAAACTGAGGAGGACCTGAAGCACCTGCTGCAGAAGGTCAAGGACTGCAGCCTTCAATATGAATTGTAGCTCAACATCAAGAAAACAAATATTCTCACCACTGGGCAATTGGCAGCACCACGATAGTTGGAGAAGAGGTGGAGATGGAGGTTGTTAACAATTACAGCTTGTTCTGCTCTACAATCAACACTATTAACTCCAGCAGTCAGAACATCAAAAGATGAATTGCGCTGGGAAAATCTGTTGTCAGGGACCTCTCCAGAATACTGAAAAGCAATAATGTCAGTCTAGAGACTAAGGTGTGCCTAATCTAGGTCATGATCTTTACTATTACTTGCTATCCATCAGAGAGCTGGACAATAACTAAGGATGACCGAAGAAGAATTGATGCCTTTGAGTTGTGGTGCTGGAGAAGAGTCTTGAACATACCATGGGCCACCCAGAAACAAATGTGTCTGTCTTGGAGAGAGTGAAACCAAGTTTCTCCTTGGAGGCTAGTATTTTGAAGCTCCATCTCACATACTTTGGGCACGTGGCCAGGAGAGACCGATCCTTGGAGAAGGACATCATGCTTGGAAGGGTGGATGGGCAGTGCAGGAGAGGAAGACCACGAATGTGATGGATTGATATAGTGACTGGGGCAATGGAGGTTGGTGTGTCAGAATTAGTGACTGGCTCAGGACAGGGCAGGCTTCAGAACTGTTGTACATAGGGTTGCTATGGGTCACAGGCGACTCAACCACACATAACAACAACACAACAATGGTGCAAGAAAATGAAAAGGATCTAATGATTAAAAACTTTAGCTGTGATCTCTAAAAAGGCATAAATTCGTAGGGCACACCTGACCAAATAGTATGCAGAATATACATAGAAGTTAGAACTGGTCTCCTGGGCTACCAACAACTCGGTTCTTCAGTGCAATTTCAAAGGGGTCCTGGGAAATGTAACGTCACAATTTTCTAGCTTTTTATATTTTGTTGAAAATGACTTATAGACATGTATCCCAATCCCCATTCTTAATCAGTGACAGTAATTCAATCTTCACCAATCTCAATTATTCCGAGTCTGTGACACTCCATGACAGTCAGTGTGGACCTGACCTTGGCCTCTGCCTTGGGGGGCGGGGGGCCTATCACTGCTGACTTAGCCTTCTCCGAAGAATGGCAGCCAGTCTTGGTCTGTTTTCATTTACTGAGGATGTGTGAGCCTTGGGAGGGTGTGGCTGAGCGAGAACAGGCAGACTTGAGCTGCTCATCCTCTTGGGCTTCTCTGAGGGCCCCATGGGCAGTGCCCCTTGCTGCAGGCTGGGGACTCTGATGCCCTTTGCAGAGTGCAGCCTCACCAGGCTTTTTCCGCCAGGATTACTGACTGTGGCAGCAGAGGTTAGGCTGCCCTGGCTGAGGGAGTCCCGTGACAGGGGGAAACTTCCACTGAGCTTCCTAAGCTCCAGGAGCTCTTCTCTGGCTTGACTCAAGGCCTCTGTCAGTTCAAAGCGTTCTTCACATTCTCTGCGCACTGTTTCCTGAAGAAAAGTGTTCTGAAAATAGAAGGAAAAACCCCATCAAAACGCCCTTCGCTTTAAACAGTGTACCTAACAGAATCGTTATCGGTGGTACAAATGGAGAACTGAACTAGAAACGAGAGGCCTGCAGCATGGTCCACAGAGAGCTGAGCTGCTAATAGAAAGGTGGTGCCCTCTGGAGATCTGAATCGCAGATCGGCTCCGGGGAGAACGCCAGGCAGCGTGTACCGTCCACAACTGCTGCAGACTCAACGGAGGGGCAGCCGGGAGTCAGTTCCAGCTGGGTGGCAATGAACATGAGAGTGTCTGTTTTCATTTTTAATTCTTTAGCTGCCTCTGTAGATACTCGCCAACAGAAAGTCAGAAAGGCACATGATTAGGGAAGCTAGAAAGTACTTTAAGTAATTAATTACCTGGCTCAACTCTTCATGTTTTTAGAGAGGAATTAACCAACGGAAATGGTGGAGCTGGGGGCTGAAACATAGGACTTCTGATGTGGGGGGTTTCAATTCATTTGTGTTTCATGTCTTTGTCTTCTGTGTATTGAACCCTGAATACACTGTGTCTAAGAACCGATGACTGGAGAGTCATTAACTACATTATCCTGCCTCTAAGTCTGAAGGTACATGGAAATTTACAATGCAAATAGGGAAAACAGCTTTAATTACAAATGGGAAAGAATAACAAGTAGACCAACTATGGCAATTAAATCGCAAAATCAGTTACTTTCTATAATGATTCCTAAATCATTATATGAAATGCAGGCTGGATTTAGGAGAGGCCGTGGCACTAAGGATATAATGGCTAATGTCAGATGGATCTTGGCTGAAAGCAGAAAATACCAGAAGAATGTCTATCTGTGTTTCATTGACTGTGCAAAGGCTTTTGACTGTGGATCACAACAAACTGTGGCTGACTCTGAGAAGAATGGGAATCCCAGAACACTTGATTCTGCTTATGAAAAACTTATAATTGGACCAGGAGGCAGTTGTCAGAACAGAGTAAGGAAACACTGCATGGTTCAAAATTGGGAAGGGTGTGTGTCAAGGATGTGTCCTATCTCCATATCTTTTTCAATCTATATGCAGAACAGATTATCCAGGAGGCTGGGTTCTATGAGGAGAAGTGTGGTATCAGGATTGGAGGTAGACCCATCAACAATCTAAGTTATGCAGACACAACCCTGCATGCTGAAACTGAAGAGGACCTGAAGCAAGGACTACAGCCTTCAATATGGATTGAAGCTCAACCTCAAGAAAACAAAGATTCTCACCACTGGGCCGACTGGCAGCATCATGATAGTTGGTGAAGAGATTGAAATTGTTGACAGCTTCAGTTTGCTTCACTCCACAATCAACACTCTTGGTTATCAGCAGCCAGGAAATTAAAAGACGAATTGCATTGGGAAAGTCTGCTGTCAGAGAGCTCTCCAGAGTACTGAGGAGCAAAGATGTCAGTCTGGAGACAGACCATGGTCTTTGCCATTGCTTTCTATGCATCAGAGAGTTGGACAGTGAATAGAGATGACAGAAAGAGAATTGATGCCTTTGAGTTGTGGTGTTGGAGAAGAGTAGTGAATATACTATGGACTGCTAGGAGAACAAACAAGTTCATCCTGGAGAAGGTGAAGCCAGGGCTGCTCCTTGAAAGCAAGGATTCTGAAGCTCTGTCTTACATACTTTGGACATGTTGCAAGGCAGGATTAGTCCTTTGAAAGGGACATCATGCTTGGGAGGGTGAAGGGACAGTGCAGGAGAGGAAGATCCTTGATGAGATGGATTGATTCTGTCACTGGGGTAATGGAGATAGGTGTGTCAGAGACAGTAACATTGGCAAGAGATAGAGCACGGTTTAAGGCTGTTGTACATAGGATGGAAGCAACCCAGTGGCACATAACAACAATAACAACAACAACGGCAACAATTTTTCCTAAAAGGAATTCAAACATAGTGGCCATTTGGTTTTTTTGGATACAATATGCTGGAGGATAGTCCATAGAGTGTTGAGATGCTAATAAAAATGACAAGCAAATGCAATGATCAGAAAATGGGCAACTAAAAGTGTGAAGAAGAATGGAGAAGGATGGGAATCTTCATCCACTACCAGTTGTGTTGTTAGGTGCCATCAAGTTTCCCAAGACTCATGGTAATCCTACGCTCAACAGCTCTGAACCTGCCCTGTCCTGAGCCACTCTCACCGAATCCGACACACCTACCCACACTGCTCAAGTGACCATCTCATTTGGGGTCTTCCTCTCCTGTGCTGTCCCTCTGCCCTTCTTCAAGGACAAATCCCTCCTGGCCACATGACCAAAGTATGTGAGACAGAGCTTCAAAATCCTAGCCTCCAAGGAGAAACTTGGTTTTCTCCTCTCCAAGGCAGATCTATTTGTTTCTTTCTTTTTTTTTTTTTTTTTTTTTTTGGCAGTCCATGGTATGTTCAATACTCTTCTCCAGCACCACAACTCAAAAGCATTGATTCTTCTTCTGTCACCTTAATCATTGTCCAGCTCTCTGATACATAGCAAGTAATTGTGAAGATCATGGCCTGGATCAGGTGCTCCTTAAGTTTCTACACTGATATTGTTGCTTCTTAGTACTTTGGAGGGGTCCCTGACAGCAGATTTTCCAGTGCAATTCATCTTTTGATTTGTTGACTGCTGGTGCCAAGAGTGTTGACTGTGGCACCAACCATGCTATAATTGTTAACAATCTCAACTCTTCTCCTTCTATCATGGTGCTTCCAAATGGCCCAGTGGTAAGAATATTTGTCTTCTTTTTTTTTTTTTTGAATATTTGTCTTCTTGATGTTGAGCTTCAATTCATGTTGAAGACTATAGTCCTTGACCTTCTGCAGCAAGCACTTCAGGTTCTCCTCAGTTTCAGCAAGCAGGGTTGTTTCATGTGCATTGCTCAGGTTATTGATGAGTCTTCCTCTAATTTTGATGATGCCACATTCTTCCTCATAAAGCCCAGCCTCTTGATTAATCTATTCCCCATGTAGATTGGAAAGGTATGGATACAGGGCACATCCCTGATGCATTTCTTTCCTGATCCTGAACCGTGCAGTGTTTCCTTGCTCTGTTCTGAGAACTGCTTCCTGGTGTTGCATAAGCACCATCAAGTGTTCTGGGAAGCACCATCAAGTGTTCTGGGATTCTCATTCTTCTCAAAGTTTGCCACAATTTGTTGTGATCCACACAGTCAAATACCTTTGCATAGTCAGTGAGACACAGACAGATCTTCCTTCTGGCCAAGATCCATCTGACATTGGCCATAATTTCTCTAGTGCCATGACCTCTTCTAAACCTAGCCTGTATGTCTGGTAATTCTTGGTTGATGTACTCCAGTAGTTTTTAGATAACTGTCAGCAGGATTTTTCATGTGTGTGATATTAGTAATACTGTTCAATAATTTCTGCATTCTGTTGGGTCACCTTTTCTTGGAATGGGAACAAATATGGATCTCAAAT